GCACAGCCCTTGCGCCTCCGATTTCCGCGGGGCTGGGGATTGAACCCAGGCCCTTGTGAAGGCAAAGCAAAGGCTCTGGGTACCAGCCCAGGGACCACATTTTCCAATTCTCTCATGCGCTGCTGAGCACAGGATGGGGACAAGCATCACACAGCACGGGTGAAAGGATGGATGGCTGTCAGACACTAGGAGGGGAAACAGGAGTGGCCTCCGATCGCTCCGAACATGAAGCAACAGTCTTGATCTAGGAGTCGGAGCAGAGCACAGATGTGCTCTGGTTCTAGCTTTACCTTTATGACATTGTGTGACCGCGGGCATGTCACAAGACCACTCTCATCAGCTGACTGAAGTAGTGGCTGTCCCCTGTCCTGGCTTTTGTCCTGTGTAGCATACTGCGCAAGTCAATCTGCCTGAGCTCAGTTTTCCCATCCATAAAAACGGGACTAGAGCCACGCATGGTATTGCGGAAGCGCAATCCCAGCTACTCTGCTGAGGCAGGGTGATCACGAGTTTAAGGCTAGTGTGGGCTTCAGACTGAGTTCAGGGCCAGCCTCGGCAACTTAGATGACATCTCAGAATAAAATGCAAAAGGACGGCTAGCGCAGAGCCCAGCGGTAGAGAGCTTGTGTAGCAAGTAGGGAGGCCCGAGTTCAACACCCAGTACTAGCAGCGGTATGACGCGCCGAGGTATTCATTGAAATCGCTGCCTCCCAGGCCTTGGCTGGACTGTGAGGTTGAGGGCCGGCACGTAAATACATCGTTAGTGAGTAGTGTCTGGGAGCTCTGATTTGTGTCCTGGAATAGGTGTCTTCCTGGGGAAGCAGGGCAGGTGAGCTTCCGTTTCATCTCTATAAAAGGGAAAGCTATGGGCAAAGCCAGTGTGCTGGAAGGCATGGAATTTCTGGAACCTTCTCAGTGGAATGTGTGACAGACAGGAACCTGTTAGGGGTGCTGAGACCTCGCCAGCACCTCAAGCACTGAAGCCTGGCCTGGCGCAGGGCTGCTATGCCCTGTACCCACCCAACCCTGTGGTCCCTTTGTCCCTGCCAAGTAGTGGAAGGAGGGACCACGGCCTCTGTCCAGCGCGTGCTCTGTGCCAGGTGTTACCACAACTGATGCTGTGAACCCCGTGAGGCTCGAGGAGAGGATAACGCTGGTCAGAAGTCATACAGGCAGCTGGGCCAGAGCTGGGCTGGAGGCTGAAGAGCCCGCCCAAATGGTCAAGGGCTTGCTGAGGAAACATGAAGACCTAGGTCATCTACAGAACCTATGTGAAAAGCCAGTGCCGCAGTGCACACCCATAATCCCAGCTCTGCAGAGGCAGAGGCAGGAGGATCCCTGAGACTCGCTGGCTGGTAGGTGACCTCCAGATTCAGTGACAGACTCTGACCCAAAGCATAAGGTGGAGCCTGGCGGTGGGGGTGCACTCCTCGGAGGCAGCCCTGGGAGGCAGAGGCAGGTGGATCTCTGTGAGTTCGAGGCCAGCCTGCTCTACAGTGTGAGTTCCAGGACAGCCAAGATTTCACAGAGAGACCCTGTCTTGAAAAACAAACAAAAAACAAATAAAATATAAAATAAGGTGGAGAGCAATTGAAGAGGACACTGGATGTTGACCTTTGACTCCCTGTATACACACATACACACACGCACGCACACACATATATACACATGCACACACGCATACACATGCGCACACACATGCACACACATACACACATATACACACCCCTACACATCCCCACATACACATACACACTCATACCCACACATACACACATACCCACACATGCACACACACATATACACACCCCACACCTCCCCACATACACACTCATACCCACACCCATCCACACATACCCACACACACACATGCACACATACATACATATACACCTCCCCACCCTTCCACCCCCCACACGAACGGTAAAGCAAAGGCACTGGGCTGGGATTTGAACCCCGCAGGCAGTCATTTTAACTCTACAGCTCATGGTGGTCACCAGGTGAGAGGGCTGGCAAAGCTTGACACGGGCAGCGGGACAGTCCCTTCTGGCTTGTACCTGCTCTCCAGGAGACTCTACACCAGTCAGTGGAGGGACAGTCCCTTCTGGCTTGTACCTGCTCTCCAGGAGACTATACACCAGTCAGTGGAGGGACAGTCCCTTCTGGCTTGTACCTGCTCTCCAGGAGACTATTGCCCGTCAAGCTGTTGTCATTGATTGGCTTCACCTTTGAGAAAACTGAGGCACTGTGAGGGAAAGAGGAAGCTGAGAGAGGTAATTTGGGGGGCGGGGTCCCTACATGTGGCTGGATTCCAACAGGGGTGCCCCCGGATATATTAACTAGGGGTGCCTCAGAGGAGGTCCCTGACAGAGATGAAATGCAGCTCACAAGCAGGGGGATGAGGTTGGAGAGCGAATGGCAGCACTTCTGGGCACGGGGGGGGGGTGGACACCTGTCATGGCAGCACAGCAGGGACGGAGGAGGGAGGGCCAGGAGTTCAACCTCATCTTGGGTTCCACAGTGAGTTTGAGGCCAGCCTGGGCTACATGAGACACTATCTCAAAAAACAAAACAACCCTCCCCCAAAAGCCCTAAGTACATTAATTAAAGGTAAATTTTTAAAATGCAGTTGAGAGATGGATGGAGAGCCCCAGAAAACACTGGACACTTGGCGAGCATCTCCGTGCTCCTTCCTAGTCCTCGAGTTGTTACTGTCTGAGTGGGAGTCCCTGCAGACACCGACTGCACAGAGGGCATTGGGGCCACACCCCAACTCACCGTGCCCAGTGACAGAATCCCTGCCTTTACCCTGTAAGGTCCTCTGAAGGGCAAGGGATGGACTAGAGACAGATCAAGGTGCAGTGGGTGGAGGGGAGTAGACGAGAGATGGATGGGGTGCAACGGGGAAAATGGGCTAGAGACAGATAGGGTGTGGGGGGGGAGTGGACTAGAGATGGATTGGGGTACAGTGGGGGAATGGGCTAGAGACAGGTTGATACGCAGTGGGGGTGGGCAGAGAGCAGAATATGGGAGAAGCCCCCAGGTTATAGGGGAGCAGAGAAGACAGATCAGCCGGAAACTGGGACGTGGAAAGAGAAAGAAACTGCAGCAAAACATCAGGGCTGCCAGAGGAAGGGCATGCCACTCCGTGGGCACGCCATGGAGCCTTCTGTCCAAAACTCGGGAGGAAACAGCGCCGTCTGGGGGTCCGGGAACTCACAGGAACTGTTGAGAAGGCCCCAGAAAACACTCAAGCTCCTGGAGAGTCCCCCCAGAACCACCTTAGCTGGGGGGGGGCATAGGAGTGGGCTGGCAGGACTCATGCCCAGGGACACAGAAGGATACACAGTTAGTATCCAAAGACGGAGAAGTAAAAGCAAGCAAGACAAAATTCCCTCCCACCTTGGGGCTCCTCAACTCTCTTCAGTTCCCTCAGGCACTGTCTGGATACCTCCAATTCTCTCTCTCTCTCTCTCTCTCTCTCTCTCTCTCTCTCTCTCTCTCGTTTGGGGCAAAGAGTGACAAGTTTGAACTTGTCCTCCAGCTTCCACATAATTGGTGGCAGCAGGCAAGGCTGCTGGAGAAGGAGGGGTTTACCAGAGGAATGAGGGAGGAGGACTCCTGAGTGACAGGGTTGGGAGGGACCACGGAGGGGGATCATCTGACCAACCTTTCTGTGGCCTCCACACCATTCCCATGACCCGTGTGTTCACCTCCCCCGTGCCATCTCTCACATTAGCCAAGGGCCTCTAGGATTCCCCTTCCCAGAGTCCCAAGGGCAATGTCCTCTCTGCATCACCCAGCCAATAAATCCACCCTGGTTTTCTAACTGAGGAAACTGAGGCCAACTGAAATGGGACTGGAAGCCAAAAGGAATCTGTCTCAGGACAGCCAGGGCAGGAAATTCATAGCCTCTGCCTGAGTTCATTCTTTTGCTTTTCCATTTAATCCCTGCTAAAGCGCTCGACTCTTCCCCAGGGTAGGAAGGAGTCTGCTGTCACCCCACCCCAGCTGATGTGGGCTGCCAATGTCAGGGTCTGAGAACTGAGTCATCTTTAGGGAGACCTTGGTTATTGCCCAGTTCTCCTGGGTGCCCTGGGATGACAGTTTCTGTTCTGCACGAAATTGGCTCTGGAGCAGGACTCTGAGGCCTGGCACAATTGGCTCAGAGCAATTGAAGGGGGCAGGGGACAGTGTCCAGGCCTGGGGGACTTACTCCTTCAGCAGTGTGTCTCTATTTTAAACTTATCCTCTGCTGCCGGTGAAGTTAGCCATGGAAGTCAGTTTGGAGATAGTGGACAGGGCCTTCTGCGTGTTCTAAGACGATCGTGGGTTAGCCTCTGCCTGCGTGCTAAGCACTAGACAACTCATACAGGAGCCTAGTCAGCGAGTTACCTCCAACGCCCACAGAGCCTGCCCTGGAGCCGGGCCCGTTTTAGCCGAAGGACTCGGATCTGAGAATGAGGATTGTGTCCCGAGGGTGCGAGTGACTTAGGAGTAGAAGTTCTGAGGATGTTACTTGGTCGGGAGTGTGAGTCCATCTCTGTGTTCCGAGGTGCAGCCTCCCAACACCTCGCGCCCTCTTTGTCTCCCCGCCAAGGTGCGCATGAAGACCTGCTTCGCTCGGCCCTCCTGGTGTGCGAGCGCGGGGGGGTGCACCCTCGACTCCCCCGCTAGCTCCCCACAGGGAGAGCGGACGAGCCGGAGCCCGGGTGCTGTTTGGTCTGGAGCGGAGCGGGGGCTTGCATTGATCCATTGATTGTGCGCGGTCTGCGCCTGACCTCCCTGCTCCCGGGGAAGCCGTCTCCATGGAGACCGGGCCCGCTCCCCCAGCGCCGGATTGTAAATTCCTGCAGGCAGCGGCCCGGCAGCCTGGGGAGGGGGCCGCTCGCCCGGGCGCGCAGGGGGAGCGGCCGCCACGCCGAGGCCCCCTTTGAAAGAAAAAAAAAGGGCACGAAAAAGGAGGTGGAGGAGGAGGACGGAGAAGAGAAGCAGGAGGGGCAGTGGGAAGGGGAGGAGGAAGAAAACGAAAAGGAGCAAGGAGAGGAGGAGAAAGAGGAGGAGGAGGAGAAAAGCGAAGAAAAACAGACGGAGCCCGGGAGGCGAGAAAGCAAGAGAGGAAGAAAGAGGCAGAAAGGGCGTGTTTAGGCGCTACGTCTCCCCTCCCCTTTCTCAGGTCCCAGCTCCGGCTCCTGCTCCGCGCTCGCTCTCCGGCTCCAGCTCCCCGCAGGCGAAGCTGGGCGTCGGGTGCGATAGCCCGGGCCGCCCCTCGGGCCGCCGCCCCGCGCCTGGCCGCGCTCCCCACCGCGCGCTCCGCACGCCCAGCCCGGATCCCCCGCGGGGCGCCCTCCAGTCCCCTCCCCCTCTGCCTCGCGCCCTCTCTGGGGCTGCGACACCCCCGCGGCCCCGCCGCGCGGAGCTCCAGGCCATGGGCTCGGGGCGCGTCCCCGGGTTCTGCCTGCTCGTCCTGCTGGTCCACGCGCGCGCCGCCCAGCATGGCAAAGCTGCGCAAGGTAAGGGAGGCGCGGCGCGGGACTGCGGGGCTGCGGGGCTGCGGGGCTGCGGGATGACGGGGCCCGAGTCAGGGCAGGTGCCTGGAAATGCGTGGCTGTCAGGACCCGGCCTTGTGTCCCGGACTCTCCGGCCAGGGCCAGACCTCTGGGCGCTGCGCGCCTAGCGAAGCGCTTGAAGGAGCCTGGGGGCGGCCGGCAGCAGGGAGCACGCACTTTTGCCGGCTTCTCTGCCACCTCTAGCATCTTCCGCCGAGGTTAGAGAATCTTCTCTCAAACATTGCCAGGGACTTCACTCTGGGGCTTGAGACCTAGAGAAGTTTTTAGCCGTGCCGCACACTTCGTACCCTCACCCCCTCCCCGCACGCAGACAGGCCAAAATTTCAAAGTTGCTGTCTTATCAAGTCTAAAGATGTTAAAGAAAAACAGGCTCTTTCGCGGTGAAACCGACTGCCTGTCACGGGATGGTAGGGGGCAGGAGGAGAAAATGTCTGTGACTGGCTTCTGGCACGCACGTTGCGTTTCTGCCTTTTGGGGGGGGGAATCTCTTTCGTCTCGCATGGCTTTCATTTCTTATCATAATATTTATTTATTAAGGCCTGGGGTTTCCAATTCCATTTAAATCCAGGTCAGAATTGCATTAAAATAACAAAGTAAAATTCCAGGCTGGGAGCTCTGACAGATTCCCTCTAGGAATTAGAGAGAGACTGGGAGGCCCTCCTGCCCCGGTCCCTGACCCCGAGCTCACTGCCCAGCCAGTCCCAAGGCTGCGCTGGCAGAAACCAGGCTGGTGTCCCACAGTTCTCTGGGGACAGCCTCCCCTCCCCCATTGACCTGCTACACCCCTCCCCCCACGTTGTCCTCACCCAAAAGAGATTTATATGGACAAAAAGAAAATTCCTCTTAGCAAGATTTTGCCCGGGAGGTAGAGTCTGCCTATTGTCCCAGGGGCTCCTGAAGCCAGCCAGGGATGAGGAGGTGTCTGAGCCAGGAGGAAAGTTGAACTTGGGAGTTGGGGAAGTCTGAGTGTCTGGCAGTCAGGTCGCTGTGTGGAGGGGCCTGAGCCCTGGAGTCCTAAGCTGTTGTATGCCACCCGCTTTCGCTGTGTTCCTAGAAGGTGCTAAGTCAACACCACCCGCCTCCCCCAAAACACGGTCTTTACCCTTGACCCTTCAACCTGTCCATTAACACAACTAAACACTGGAGACCCTCCGCTGTCAAGTACCAGACCCCACCCCAAGCTCCTTCCAGCCCCAAACTGCTTCTTCTGCAGCCTTGGTTCCAGACAGCCCGCTGCCTGGAACAGCCCCTCTCCCCACTCTGGATTTGCTTGTGTGTTTTCGTAAACAAAGCTGGCTTTTGTAGTGCACGCTGACTTACTCATAACATGGAATTAGCTAGGGAGTTTAGTCTGAGGAAGGAACAGATTTCGTGCAGTAATCTAGAGACAAGATAAGGGCCTCTTTCAAGTTGGAGCCAGTGTCTGCAGAGGTGGGGAGGGGACAAGAGGAGAAGCACCTATTAAAGGGGCTCCAGGTGCAGCTGGAGACCCCTAAATGGGACAGGTGTGCAGGGAAACCAAGGCTCTCAAGGGATAGAAGTCAGGATATTTCCAGGGTACCTCGGGTACCTTCTTTTATTGGACACCCCACTGGGTGCTGGGGGACACTCAGCAGGAGGCGGTACCCTCAAGGCCCCTGCTTATCTCAGTCCTGAGCGCCAGCCACCTGCCCTGGTGAGGCTGCGGTAACTTGGCATCTGCCCCCCCCCCATAGGATTTCTGAGTCTGGCTGGGGCTAGGCTGGAACCTCTCATTAACCCTACCATCCAGGAAATCTGTGAAACCCTGTCCATCAAAGGTTGCCTAACAACAGGTTTGCTGGAAAACAGAGCTGTGCTTGGACTCAGATTTGTAGGTAGATGCTGCAGGCAGGGTGAGAACTCTTTGGTCTGAGCCTTACAGGCTTACCCGTGGTGCTGTGAGCTCCGGGAGGCCTCCCTTGCCCCCTCGGCATATCTCCCGTCTATCATCAGGGCTGGGAAGTCCGCCTTTGATGCCACGTGCTCCTCGGTGGAACCCTAGAGGGTCTGTGAATCGGAAACACCCTCAGCAAGCATCTTGAAAAGAACTGCTGCACTTCTGGGGACATCTGTGTCCCTGGGAGCGTCAAAGCCACGTGATGGGACGAGGATGGAACTGGGACAGGAGCTAGGAATAAAGGAGGGGGAGGGAGGAAAAGAGAGGGAACACCAACTCCAGCACCACGGTCCACCCCTGGCCCCCTCTGTCCTCTGGGACCTAGCCCCAGTCGGGGATTGCTGAACGGTTTGTCCCTGTGGATGAGTGGGCGGGTCAGCTAGTGGGACTGGGAATGAGTGAGCTTGCTGGGTACACGGTTTTGAGTGGTTCTCAAGTGCCTGTCTGTGTGTCTTAAAGTAGACAGACTGGATAACCAAGATAATTGTAAACTTAAAAGCATTAATTTGCTTTGCTTTTTTTGAGGGGTGGGGGTGGGGTAGAGGTGGGAGGACAGCCGTGGCTAAAAAGACCTAATCCCCACTTAGGGCTCAGGTTGCAGCTGAATGAAAAGGTCTCAGGGCCTCCAGGGGGACTGGTCCAGCCCCCAGGCCGGCTCCGGCTCAGGCTCTGGGACAGCCAGGTTGGCCACTTAGTTTACCTGGTAGTTTTCTTTCCTTGCTGGGGATGGAGACTGAGAAAGTCAGCCATTTAAAGCCACGGCATCCCTGAGAGTGAACGTGTTCATCTGGTGGGAACAGTGTCTCTCTGTCTCTGGGTCTCTGTCTGGGTGTATGTGTCTCTCTCCTTTCCCCACCCTCTCTTCCTCTTTAATGTGGCTGTTTCCTCTCCTCCCGGCTTCCCTCGGCTCCTGTGGCCAGCTCCTACAGTGAGGGGACTGTTCCTCCTAGCCCCTCCCTCCACAATATGAAATGAAAACCATAACCGTGTCAGCGGGTGAGGGTGGCTCCTCAAGCAGCTGCCGTCGCTTGAGTCCCATTGAAGCCCTATTGGAGAGAGCAGACAGACAGACCCCACTCTTAGATCCTGTTGTTTTATCAGTTTCCCTAAGCTCATCCCCACTTTTAGGAAGTCTTTGGAAATCCCTTTGACCTCTTTCTGTGGCTTTCTGGTGGCGCGTCATAGGTGTGGGGAAAGCCTGGGGCTAGGAGGATATAAATTTTGTTCTCCACCTCCCCACACACACACCCGAGTCTCTGTAGGGTGGAATGGGAGAGAGTGGACTACAAAGACCTAGGCATCCCAACCATTACAGGTAGAGAGGCCTTAGATGAGACCGTTTTCTGGAACCTTCTGGAATCTGAGAGCATGAGAACCGGTTTGATATGTGAGTGGCTAGGACCTGTTGTGAATGGAGACAGGCCGGGTGTGAGGTTGGGAATGTGAGGTGTGCATTCACTGGGGTGTGTGAACATGCATGTGCATGACTCTGTGTGTGTGTGTGTGTGTGTGTGAGCACATGTGTGTGTGGCACTCCGGTGAGGGGGAGGAGGTGGGCGATGTGCGTTTTGTTTTAGTTGGAGAAGTAAAATAGAATGGCTTGGTCCAGTGCCTTGAACCGAGGGTGGGGGAGGGGAATGCGTGGCTTCAGATCCTCTGGAGAAGATGGTGGAGGTGGAGGAACTTGCTGCCAGATCCCACCCTGGTCTCTGCTGCCTGCTTCGGTGTGCGGGCGTGGGCCTCTGTACCACTGGCACATGACCGCTCACTAAGAAAGAGTTCCTGTCAGGGCTGGAAACTGCGGAGCCGCTCTGAGGCTGGCAGTGCTTACGGGAGGCCCAGACCTGGGGAGACAGGAGTCTGGGAAGCACTGGGCTGCTGGAGCTCAGGGGAGAGGTGAAAACAGCCAGCACAGGGCCGTGTGGAGGGGATGAATGGGCTACTCACCTGGGCAAAGGGGGGACACTGACTCTCTGTCCGCAGACTAGCCACTCTCTTCCCTGCCAGCCTGCGTTCTGCCTGACTCAGGTGGCACGAGGTGAGTGGAAGAGGAGGTGTGAGCTCTCCCAAACTCAAGCCCGCTGGCTGGGAACTCGGGTTCTGCCCATTTTGCTGAACCCATTCATATCAGTAAGCTTCGGTACCCTCTCCACCTGGACCGTGTTCCACTCTGCCGGTTGGAAGTTGGGCCACTTGGTACTTTTCCTTTCTTCCCCCACCTCAGTTTCCCAAGGAGGGTAGTCCTGTGTCAGGCGAGCAGCTAGCCTAGAAACCAGACCCAGAAGCCCACGGACACGCTTCTGTGTATGTGTGCACCGTGGTGCCAAGACTGACCCCTGCCAATCCCCGAGCCCTGCCCTCCTCAGACCAAGGGCTCGCTCTGGACTCAGAGCTGGATGTGTTTCAGAAGTGGGGTATCCCCCCCCCCCCGTCCTGATCAGGCCGCCGGGGACTTTTGGTTTGCCAATGGTTTTCTCCTGTGACAAACCATAACCCCAGAGAGCTATGGGCTTTGAATTTCAGAGCTTTGTGCCCACGACTGTCTGGTTGCGGTTACGGACAGTGGCAAACTGAGGACATGGTTGCTGACCCGTAGAAGATGCAGGATAAGGAATCCCTGGGTGAGGTCCAGCGTCAGGCTATGTGGGCGTCAGTGGAGGGGGCTCGTGGGAGGATGGGATGTTAAAGGGTAGACCCTAGGGGCAGGTTTAGAGAGAGGACGCTTTTTACAAGTTTCTAATTATATTTATTTGGAGTTTTCCTCTGGCGGTTTGAAGCTGTTAACAGCAGGAACCTGTATCCCTGGTGTTTGTTTTTGTTTCTAACCAGCTGCTTGGCCCCAGAGAAGTGAATCCCAAGGCTGGCGACACCTGCCCACCACTGCGCCTGCCCGCCCGCCCACCCTCTCCTTGCCTGTGTGTCTGCCTGCTCCCTGTCTATCCTGGTCTCTTCTGCCATGGAGCATCCAGAGGCTGGCTTTTGACCACCAGCCAGTTCAGTTCCAATCCATCTCGGGCTCTGTTTG